ACGAAGCAAGGATTTCTTTATTTTATTTCATGAATGTTCTCGGGGTTCTATTTCTCTCTTTCCTTCTAGATTTCTTAAAATAATAGTAACTTAGAAAAACTCTCAGTTCATCATATTGACTAATTAGTTGACGAAATTGTTTCTTCATACAAGACTTCGATGCTCAAGTTCTTTTATTATTTCTCAGGTTACTTTCAACGTCAATGGACTCCAACGATGAGGATCATGGACCAATTGAAAATTCAAGACCTCTTGTAGCCTTCTTTTATATTAGTTATATAATCGTTATTGCTTTCTTCATGGTAAGTACTATCGCTGATTTAGTTTGTAAGTATATCGTTCAAAATATATATTATATATTTTTTTTGATTAAAATTTATCTTTGGATTCCATTATGAACATTAAAAGCTGTAAAAATGTGTTTCAAATCAGTAGTGAATTATTTTTGTATGTGTTTCAATATGTTTTATCAGGTCAACATATTCGTCGGTTTCGTCATAGTGACATTTCAAAAGGAGGGTGAGCAGGAGTTCAAAGACTGCGAACTGGATAAGAACCAAAGGAATTGCATTGAGTTCGCACTCAAAGCGAAGCCAGTTAGAAGGTAAGATAATTCTAATCTTGTCAGATTATGACGGTTATGTTTAACCGTGGATTTTTAACTTAATTAAAAACAGAACTTTATCATTTATAAAACATATTTTATAAATCTCATTTCTTTAAAAACATTGAGATAAGACTACTGTTTTATGAGTCTTTTGACATTGAAAATCATAGAACATTAGATTTCTCAGAATGCCGTTTGGTTTCCTTAACGCAACCTTGGTATTCCAAAAGTAACAAGATACATTTCTTAACTTATTAATCATGTTTAGCTTATAGGTTTTTAAGGTATTAAATATGTCAATAAAGATAATTACTAACTATAATACCTGAATGAAAATTAAATGAAGAATTTCCACCTTTTTACTAACAAATTTTGAATCCTACGAATCAAAGCTAAAAAGGTAGGGGAAGACTAACTAAAATATTGATGGACTGTGTGAATAATTATATTCGTAGGAAGGGAGTGAATTCGAGGAAGCGAATCTTTAAATTGTTTTATAATAACTTATTTCATACAGGTACATACCGAAGCATCGTATCCAGTACAAGACGTGGTGGTTCGTGACGTCACCCCGGTTTGAGTACGTCATATTCTTCTTCATCGTGCTGAACACGATTGCCCTCATGATGAAGTTCCACAATGCATCGCCGGAGTACAAGAGGGTAAAATCTTAGTAAAACCTTAGCAAACAGTTTTGGGGAAGAATTTCAATGGCTTCCAAATCAGTAGAGCCGTTTCTTACTGTTGTTTTGTCATTACTAATAATGTTATAAGGGTATGTTATTAAATTATGCCTCATTTAGCTTGCACATTACCTTAAAAACGCCATTTTTTCAGGTATTGGATTACCTAAATATGTTACTGACCACAGTATTCATGCTTGAATTTATCTTCAAATTAGCAGCATTCCGTTTTAAAGTAAGTAACAATATCTTGTTCTGTACAGTCAGCGTCATATAGATCGTCACAGACAAGATATGCAAATATATAGGTACATCAAAAGTAATCAATTATATCGGTACAACAAAAGTCCTCAAAATAATAGATACATTCACCCTGCTCAAATACATCGGTACATACACAGCGTCAAATATATGAGTACATGCAAGATGCTCATAAATATCGTAGCAGCCACAGCGTCATAAGTAACGTAGCAGTCATGGTGCGCATTAATATCGGTACATTTGACAAAATTGAACTCTATCTCTATATACTTGTGATACAATTTGGAATAAACTACTTCTGTTACATTCATTTGACACTTTGTATTAACATTATAGTTTGTCCGGAAAGTTCGTTCTGATTTTCGATATAAAGCTTACAATAGACTGTAGCTGAAGTGGAT